CCTGACGTGGACTTCTTCACCATGAGCCATTTCGACATCATCATGTCGGAGGCAGCAACAAGCAGCGGCGGCGGTGGTTCTACCCAAATATGCAAAATTAAGCAATCTAATTTGCAATTACAGAATTAGGGATGAAGTTTTTTAAAGATTCCTTAAAGCTAAGTTGTTTTCATTTTTTACTCAATTTGTTAAGCCAGCATAGCGACCTCGGGCAGAATCTGGTACCTCAATACTACTCAGACTATATATATTAAATTCTTCATGAATAACGGTAAAATAAGTGGCATCATTTGTTCTAGCAAAGACTTTACATGAGATACCTACATTTTACAACAATTTTCTGAATGCTTTCAGCTCAATGCTAATATTTTACTTGTTCCTGGCAAAGTATGTTGACCAAAAATAATTTTGCTAATATTATACTGCTAAATCTAGAGTTTTATAAACGGCTGGCTTTGTCTTGTTTACATGTCGATTGGCCTACGCGCTTAAGAAACAATATATTAATTCCGTCAGTGGAATCAAAGATCATTTACCTGCCTTTTAAGTACCTAATCAACGAACAGAAAAATGCACGTAGGTTAATATTTTGATTAATTTAATTAAATTTATTATCAAAATCCTAAATGCATTTCTTTGTTGATTTAAAGTACGAAAAAGTAGGAGTGGACAACATACAAAGTAATTTATTATTTACTAGGTCAACTTGGTCCAGGCAAGACGGTCATGACAACGTCGTCAGCGCATCGTATTTATTTAATTGTGATTGAATGAAAAATTGCTGATTAGATAATCTACATAATGAGTACCTTTTAAATGCCACCTGAGTCAATTTGATGTAGTAAATCAACATTAGAGAAGCACTCTCCATGGGAAACAATGTCTTGAGCAAAACACTCGATTTCCTCAGACAAGCACAAGCGGAAAAAAATGTACACATAAACCTCACTGGTCATTATCTTGTAGAGAATCGGCCATGGGCACGAAAACATTAACCAGGATGATATAGTTTTCACCCGTAGCCAAAAAACGACGTTTACTAGAGTTCTCTGAATATTTTGAAACCTCGAGATTTATGTGTTGCCCAGAAATCTCGATTCGCTCGCTTAAACTTCCTATCAAATCGATTCGCGTGCGGGACAAATAATTATTATACTTTGCCAATTTTTTCTATATTTTCATTTAGTTATTGCAGAGGTATTGCGCAATGAACTTGCTTGTACTCAATGTTACTCACCCTCACACAGTCATCCATTCCCTCACACGCACGGATTGGTAGCTGTGACGCGTTGAAGTCTCCTTCCTGGTTGGCGGGAAGTGCGATTTTTCTTTTTTTTACCGCAACATTCCTATAATGGCAATATTATACTGAGCATTAGGCTTTACTTGGACCGCAACATTCTTATAATGGGAAGATGATCCTGCCGCTCTTCTATAAATGTTGTTATCCATTACGTTGGTGAACGGCTTGCTGAGAGCTAATTAGAACAAGAAAAATATTTTATTTTTGCCTGCACAAAGTTAATAACAATTTTATGAGTAGAACTGAGTTGTTGATTGTGTTGCATAGCATGACTCCAGCGGCGAGGCTCATTTCTTGGCAACGATGCAGTTTCTGCCCAATACTTTTCCAGGAACTGCATTTGAAACATATTAGAGGGAAATCTAGGAGCACTTAATAAATAGTAACAATTATTACTGTTGGAGGAATTATTGTATCCGACACGGGCCGTAAAGCCATGGAACAGCTCTTGACGTAAAACTTGAAACAATCTTGTACATTTCATTCTATTATGTCCGTTAACGTTGACAGAAAATTGTACAGTCCTGACAAAACTTATATAGATCAGGGGGCAGTACCATCACAACTCGCTTAAGCACACGTTGTGGCCGACTCCTTAATTGTCTGTGATTGGGTGGATTTATATTGGAAAATCAATGATGGGCTGCCGGAGTTGCAAACTCATAACTTTTTCAAAAGTTCGGCTGCTAAATATCTTCGGCAGACTCACAATCTCGACTAAGCATTTCCAACTCTCATTCAGAAGTCCATGTACTTGTGTTTGTACTTTAACAGAAAAGTTAAAGTTGAGCTACTTGTCGCTTAAGCAAAAAGTAACGCAAAGTAAATGAAGGACTGCTAAATTGAGATTGCAACAAAAGTTACTTCAACCATCGAGCCATAATTAATAACCTCACCAACAGCAGGTTGTGACGTTATTTTCATTCCTAAAACCTGCATCTGCTATTCATTATCCCTATACATTTCCCCGCTAAAATTAGCGATGCTTTATTCAGAAAATATCTCACCGACCGATTATATTCGCAATTTTATTTAACGAGCATATATTACACTGAAAGGAGATTTTTCTTAGGGCCAACCTGTCGCTTTATAGAGTTAGGTGAATGTAGATAATTTGTATAAAACATTTCCGGAACTTGCGCTCAAACCTGCAGCAAAGTCATGATAAAATACAGCTCAGGAAATACTCTCCGCTATTCCCCCACCGACCTGAATTCAATGGAGCCCCTGATATTGTACCGCTAGCTTTCCATTTAAGTTTTAAAAATATGTCTAAAATAACTGGTCTTTTAAGCTACATAAACAGCGTCTGAAGATTATTCTCAAAACAAGAACCCATTTAAATTTCGGTATTCAACGGCCTTGAATCCACGCATCAGTGAATTCTGGCCGTTTGTATTATCTGGGCAGGTAAAAAATATGTATGTGACTTGCAAGAATTGGGTTGTAAGAACACGTGGGGTCAGAATTGACGTAGCGGGGAAACTTACATGCAAGTTTTATTTCAAGTCTCTTCTACCGCGCCGTATGTCACTCTCCGGGAACATAATTTTAACTTAAATTGTACGTGAACTATTCAGGGTAGCAACCTGAGGACGTTTGTACGCAACAGAGAACATTTTAAAGTTGTACGTGGCGGCAACCATCAGTGCAAGTCATTTTGCGCTCACTAGAGCCTATCCTTTTTGGGAAGTAGGCGCGTGACAATATTGCTCCGGTTACTCGTGTCAGGCGGTAGAGGGTTAAGTCTTGTCACTACAAGACTAAAACGCAATATGTGCAAAACTCCGTATGCTTAATTTACGTCGGAGCCAAGATAATGAATTTCCACCATGCGATCTGTAACGTAAAGAACCGACATTTTCCCGCATAAAATTCAAGCCAGCAAGAAAATTTTCCCGTGACTTGTTCAAAGTATATAATAAACGCGTCTTTTGGAAGCAATGCGTCTTGGTTACAGCATCGAAAGCTTAATTACGATTTCAGTGATGAGTTCAATACTTAACTGTATAATTTCAGGTGCGCTATCTGATCGGAACAATCGGATTTTTTTTCCATTCCAAAGACAATTCGAGTGAACTCAGCTTCTACAACATCGGAAGTTAAATTTACGATCTAAAGATAAATCAAAATAAACATAATTACCATTAACATTCATTGCAAGAATAAAATCGTAGAGTTTTAAGACAGAATTAGGAGTTCTGTTCATAGTGGATTCTTGGTTCAGATCTCCTAGAGTTTCTCGACATCTCCTTGGCAGTTCCATTCAAGCTTACGGAAAGACTTGACTCGTGTGTTGGCGCAGAGGGAAGGCCAGGAGCCCGTTTGGAGGTGCTCAGGTACGGGCAAAAGCTGTAGATTTATTAGCAGTTGTTCAGTGAGCGCATCTGCTGCATACTAAAGAGTCCAGCACCTCACTGGTGCTCACATGGGGTTGTGGACCTCACTTGGTCGGCTGCGTGCGGTCCTAGAACGTGGCTTGCGACCTCAAGAAAACAAAAACAACTCGTAGAAATAGGGTGAACATCGCGGCGTATTAATTACAGAAGATCTAGAAACTAAAATACTATTAGAGCCTCACTGATGGTACGTAGTGATAGAACTTAACCTGATGGACCAACTGCATACATAATTAGTGAGCAAAAGTCTCAAAGATTCATTAGATTTAGGATGAACAACGTAGAATATTTCTTCAATGAAGTCTTCAATGTAGAATATTGGTAAATCAAAGACCATTAGATCCTCAATGTGTCTGCGTTGGAATGGAATTTAACCTTATGATTCAACCGGATATTTAGCGAACAAAGCTTGTACATTCTAATCTGGCATTAAACTAAACAACATGTTTTCTCCGAGAGTTAGATGGCCATAACATAAATTTCGTATGATCTAATGCAGAATTTCTCCTTCAACAATCTGCAAGCTTCAGCTTTAAAGAACGAAGTTATGCAAGTTCCAGTTCAACAGCAGATCACAGCTTGAAATTCACAAAGTTACAACACTTGCAGCAAACTTGCAGGTTACAGCGTGAAGGCCACCGTCATACAGCAGTTTACTGCGACCTTGGAGCTCAGCTTGGGAACTGTGACTGAGTGGCTGGGGATGTAGGAGGGACTGAAGGATACAGTAGACAGGCTGTCTGCTTTGCTGCCTTTGGTGGAGGGCACAGGGTTGGGGATGTAGGAGGAACTGGAGGATACAGTAGACAGGCTGTCTCCTTTGCTGCCTTTGGTGGAGGGCACAGGGTTGGGGATGTAGGAGTGGAGGGCACAAGGTTGGGGATGTAGGAGGGACTGAAGGATACAGTAGACAGGCTGTCTCCTTTGCTGCCTTTGGTGGAGGGCACAAGGTTGGGGATGTAGGAGGGGACTGAAGGATACAGTAGACAGGCTGTCTCCTTTGCTGTCTTTGGCGGAGGGCACAAGGTTGGGGATGTAGGAGGAACTGAGGGATACAGTAGACAGGCTGTCTCCTTAACTGACTTATTGGTACACACAGGCTATTCCAATGCACACATACAGGCTATTCTCCTGCACACACACAGGTTACTTTCTTGCATGTTAACTACATATACACATTCTCAGTACCTACATTATTGGGACGCGTGACGTCACTTATTTGGTTTTGAATTAATGAAACTGTGATCAGAGTTTCATTATCAAGAAAGATATATTGAACATACGATAACCTTCAAATGATGAACGAATTGAGTCACTACGTTAGAATCAGGGTAAAAATACGATAATTATACTCAGTGCACCATTAACGTAGCGATGATATGCACTGCACGATCATCATCTCTTCGACGAGTAAGCGAATCTCTTTGCTAGATCCAATCCTGGCTCGCTAGAGTCTTCTGTTCCAAAGGGGCCTCCAAGTCACTGTCCTCAGCACAGATTATTGGAAAATACTGCTTGTTGAAAAGACTTTTGGTTATGTATAAAACACCACATTTTAAGAACATTGTTTTTTATAACTTGGCTATTAAAATGATTTCTTTGTCTAAGTAATGCTGTAAAACGTGCATTTTCCTCCCACAGAAGGAGCTCGACAAGTTCCTCTCAGAGGAGCTTCAGATGGAAGAAATGCAGCCACCTCCCACCGCAATTCAAGAAACTCTGCACCAAGAACCGGAAGAAGAACAACAATCCCACATCCAACCAAGAAGAACTTCAGCCTCGCAAATTGATGAATTTTTTGACGCCGATATTGCGGTGGATGCAAACCTATGGAGCGTTGATGTGGAGGCGGTCGTGGCAGCACCAGACCAGGACGTTGGTAAATACGTGTGTAATAGAAGTTCATTAGGAAGTAAGGAAGAGTCCTGGAACACAGACGATCTCACAAGTAGTAATAACAGTTCTTACAGTAAAGGTTCCTCCACTTACGTGTCACCCGTCAGCTTGAGAAATATCATGGATGACGAGGTGTTCATCAAGCCTGAACCAGTCGAGAATAGGTTAGCCATGTGGGAAGATGTCACTTCTTCAGTAAGACATCTCGATCCCGAGGAATCCAACCACGTTCAACTGGGTTCTTCCGCGCCAGCTTCGCTGGGGTTTCATCCGCCCAACGTGCCATCTCATCACCACCAGCAGTTCCACCAAAGTTTGCATGGTCAGTACCACGCCACTGTTTCCATCAACCACGATGTCAGCTCACAATACCCTTCTTCGTGCTACCATTCTGCTTCTAGTTCTTCTTCTAGTGCTCTAGATGTCAAATTAGAAGATCATGCTTCGCCTCGTGCCCCAATGGTCTCCAGTGATATGCCTGGCTTACTAACCAGTCCAAGTCCTCCTTTAATTCGCTCTAGTATGAGCTCTTGTAGTGCGTCTATGCCTATGCATTATAGGTATAGTCAATCTTCCAAGTCCACAAACGCATCTTTAACTCATACTGGGGTACCCGTAGCATCAGTTCACCGGATTTACACTCCACCTACTCCTCCTTCTTCTGACCATGGTTCTCCTGGGGATCTCCATGCTCAGTTTCCACCGCATTTTTCCATGGGACCTCGAAGGACGCCTCCCCCTCCTTATAGCGTGGCAGCATCTCCTACCTCCACTCCTCGAGTGCACCCTGCCCCGGTGGTGTCTGCACCTACTTCTTCTCCAGGCCATCGACATATACCACCTAATTATTGCAGCCCTGGTCTGCAGCAGCGGTTGCAGCCTAGTCCTGCACGCAGGGACTGTAATCAAGCCACGACCTCAGCGAATCCTAACCTAGTTATTCCCATGGGCGCCGCACGGCGGGGTTCGTTTTCTGCGTCCTCGGTTCCTCAGGCCTCGGGATCGCGAAGTCTCCTTCTGCCCAGAAGAGGCGGGAGCCCAGCAGGACGTAGCTCGGCCAGTTTACCCCCCTCGATTATGTCTAATAATGCCCCGCCAAAATATAGTCGAAGAAATAATCCGGAACTCGAAAAGAGAAGAATTCATCACTGTGATTTTCCAGGTTAGTAAAATATTTAAGCAAATACCAAAGATGAATTTGTCCAATAAACTGCCTAGTTTCTGATGCATCGTTTCACAAAATATACACAAACTCCCATCCCTACTTAGCCCCTATCATAACGCACGTTACTTCGTTTATTTTTTTGTTAGCTTATAAATCAGTCCATATTTTTCATTTTGAACTTCATTAGCATTAACGACGAGGCACTTGAAACTAAATTCCAGGAAAAAATGTAAACATAACTTTATTAGAATTCAATTTTATTAATAATTTATCTATCAATAATTTCCCGTTTTGTGTACATCGTATTACAATATCATGTCATGTCATGTAATATAATGATATTGTACCTCACTTGACAGGTTGCATGAAGGTTTACACCAAGTCCTCCCACCTCAAGGCGCATCAAAGGATACACACCGGTGAGTGAACCCTACGAATCCTATGCTCCTACGGCGTGTTACGTCAATAGTGCTGAACTGCTCGAGTGTTGAAGGATAAATAAATCTTGTTCGCTCTATGGTCAAGTCTCCATTCATCTATGTTACTTAATTTATTAAGTTAAGGAATAAATTTTCTGACCCGATCTCTGTGGTCTGCAGTCACATTCTCGGTCCATATAATGTAGACCTGATATTTTACGTGTGCAAGGAAGTGTTCTGAAGTCTCATAACATCAAGCGATGTTATCAATAAGTTGATGCTAATAATATGATGTCATTCACGAATCCCCATCCCTAATTGAAGCGGGCATTTAGCTAAGCACATAGCAGTGTCCTGCGGGATTATAAAACATGCTGCAATGCGATAACCGAGCCGAAAACTCAGCACATTTTCCTGGTACTATTTTTAGATGAAGTTCAAACCGGTTGGACTAAGATACATCAACCGTCCTCAATGCTATTCGTACCTAAAGGCCTGGTAACAAGAGTTACCGTCAGCAGACAAAGGCTTAACCTATTATGAACGCCAATGCTATTCGTACCTAAAGGCCTGGTGGCAAGGGTTACCGTCAGCAGACAAAGACTCAACCTATTATCTACGTCAATGCTATTCGTACCTAAAGGCCTGGTAACGAGAGTTGCCGTCAGCAGACAAAGGCTTAACCTATTATGAACGCCAATGCTATTCGTACCTAAAGGCCTGGTGGCAAGGGTTACCGCCTGCAGACATAGGCTCAACCTATTATCCACGTCAATGCTATTCATACCTATAGGCCAGGGGCCATACTTTCAAAGTTGGCTAAGTGAACGTAACTACTTGCGCTCTATTTTCTTGTCTATGATTTGTGGATTTTGCTTAAAAGGCCGTCAATGATTGGCTGATGTACTTACGATCTCTTAACTTTTTTTTGAAAGTATAGGCCCAGGTAACCAGAGTTACCCTCAACAAAGTTAATGATCAGCGCGGCGATGTGGAGGTGACAGCCCTGCACGGCCGCCTCCATTTTGCTTGCCTTCATAGCGCATAAAAACTTCTCAGTTTAGTTCTTCCTCGCTTTATTAGTTCATTAGCGCTTCTGGTAGGAATAGCATTGTAAGATGTACCGGAATTTATCCACTCCGACGGCTGGCGCAAATACACCAAAAATACTGACAAATAAGAACCAAAATTAATAAAATTGCGTACTTGACACTCACTTAGGAATTATTAGGAATCCATTAATTAACGATAACAATAAAATATGATTATATTCTTAAATATATAACATATTCGGTGTACGTCTGTCCTCGCCACGCCCACAGCTCCAGCGCGCCGTGCGGGTGCCAACAAGATTATCGATGGAACTTGATAATTGATAATTAAAAAGATTAGCATTGTTTGATTAATAAAATAATTATTGTGCGATTCATGGAAAATACGTAAATGGTTGACAATAAACACGATATCAGTACGACCATGTCAGTCACCGGTACCGGTTATTGACTTGTAATATTCCAACATAGTTAATATGTGAACATCCAACATGGTTAATATGTGAACATCCAACATGGTCGGTATGTGAACATCCAACATATATGGTCGGTATGTGAACATGCCCGTGTCGGATGTGATTATCCGGCATTTGGTCCACGGTTAGTCACGGTTATTCTCACCATTACTCACTGTAAATAACGTCTATTCTTACCATTACTCACTGTAAATAACGTCTATTCTTACCATTACTCACTGTAAATAACGTCTATTCTTACCATTACTCACTGTAAATAACGTCTATTCTTACCATTACTCACTGTAAATAACGTCTATTCNTGTGCTCTAGTGAACATGTGCTCTAGTGAACATGTGCTCTAGTGAACATGTGCTCTAGTGAACATGTGCTCTAGTGAACATGTGCTCTAGTGAACATGTGCTCTAGTGAACATGTGCTCTAGTGAACATGTGCTCTAGTGAACATGTGCTCTAGTGAACATGTGCTCTAGTGAACATGTGCTCTAGTGAACATGTGCTCTAGTGAACATGTGCTCTAGTGAACATGTGCTCTAGTGAACATGTGCTCTAGTGAACATGTGCTCTAGTGAACATGTGCTCTAGTGAACATGTGCTCTAGTGAACATGTGCTCTAGTGAATATGTGCTGTAGTGAACATGTGCTCAAGTAATCACATGTTCCAGTACGTAACTTTGCCCTATGCTGCGTAAGCCTCATCAGACAGTCACCTACACGCCACCTGCACAACGTATATGGTCGCTTCATGTTCTCTAATACGTTTCAATCTCTATAAATAATTTGGGCATCACTTAATGTTACGGAATTTTTAGTGAATAATTGACTGTGATTAAAGAGTTGCATTCAATAAACATTGATTATAATTGAGCCCCGCGAAATGCGCAAGAACCTGGCAGCACGAGAGTGCAGGCAGTTGCAGAACCGGTTCCTCTTGACCAATGACCGCAGGAGCTGAAGTTTCATTCACAAATCTTTTGCGACGTTGCCACGTCTCATCTCGTACTGCATCGTTTCCTTGTTGCTTTTCTGTTTGCATGTTACGTCTCATGATTTGTACAATTTTTATGCCACGTCAAGCTTCTTTCTGATTCAGAAGTATGTTTTTAATGAATTGGTTCAATACATTGAACATTAAGTAGGATCATATCCTTTGTCTGAGGCAGATAACGAGATGACTTCATCTCCCACGAAACTCATGAGCACGACTTCAGACAGTGATATCTTATAACTAATATCATGGACTATTTAGGTTTATATAATGAATAATAATGTCATATAGAACAAACAAAATACCCGTTCAAAAACATTTCCGCTACCATCCATAATTTAGCCTGTGCTTCAGTTCATTCTTGAGAGCAATAGCCTCGACTTCAATCTAGCGGCGTCTGGCAACTTCGGAATGCAAGGACAACTTGCCAAGCATTTTAAGATGACTTTTAGGTTCTGTCTTTTCATCTCAACATGTCAGACAAACTTTTCTTTGTTGCCTGCAATCTAAATGTTCCAAAACTTCACAACGCACCTCGCAGCAAAGAGAATAGTTGTAATAAAACCTTTTTTCAACTCTTCAACCGAGCTAAAGTTCCGCCGCGGAGGGGTCAACTGCATTGATTTTTTTACATTTTCGCATTGTTTATTTTCTGATTTTCGAGACGGGATCTCGATTTTAATGAGCATCCTCGACATATGAATGACTTTGTAAAAAACCTGGAAGGGACTTAGGGGCTGAAAGTATTTAGGAAGAACTTACGAAGCGCGACTTGAACCCAAAAAATACTGTAGTAAAACCCGGCAGTTCATTCACATTTCCTAACGTCTCCTCCAGGGCTGGAAAAAACTCGATTGAAAGAAGGGCTTATATCGAGGGGGAAGATTTAAGCTACAAATGTGGGTGCCATGAATGTTATGGCTAGAGTTATGGCTGGCGTTTTGTTGTTATATGGCTGGCGTATTGGATATTATATGGCTGGCGTATTGTACGTTATATGGCTGGAGTTTTGGATATTATATGGCTGGCGTATTGTACGTTATATGGCTGGAGTTTTGGATGTTATATGGCTGGCGTTTTGGATGTTTTATGGCTGGCATTTTGGATCTTATATGGCTGGCGTTTTGAATGTTATATGGCTGGAGTTTTGGATGTTATATGGCTGGCGTTTTGGATGTTATATGGCTGGCGTTTTGAATGTTATATGGCTGGCATTTTTGATGTTATATGGCTGGCGTTTTGGCTGGTGTTATCTGACTGAAGTTATGGGTGGTATTGGCAGACTGAAGACAGGTATGATTGGCTGAAGACATTAAGCAAAGATTGAAGCTATTCAGGACTGGCTGAAGACAGTAATGTTTGAATGAAGTCATGAATTACTGGCTAAAGACATCTAGGATAAAGTTATAACAAATGGGATTATCAGCAGGCTTTAGGGGCTGACAGAAAGCATTAGAGATTGACTGAATGCATGAGGGACTGGCTAATGGTAAATTTTACTTGCTGAGAGTTCTCAATTCACTGAAGCTTGAAGAAACAAAGTCATGAATATTTGGCTAATGAATCTCATTCTCTACAACAATATTTCCAAGTAGCCCGGGTACCTGCAGGAGGAGACTTCTATGTTCATTAAAAACTTACTTTTTTTCTTTTTAGCGACTTGCAAAAAAAAAGTTTAGACATGGGGCTGTCACCGTACCCTGATGACTACCAAGACATTCAGCGGTAACTAAAGCAATAATGACCGCTGATAAACAAATGGATTGGGGAGGAGCGTGGCGGACATGGCAAAAAATAGGGCCGCTCAGTAGGGCCATCGACTGGAAGTTTTTGTGTCCGTCGAAGTGGCGAGTTTGGCTGAAAGTGGCAAGTGCGGCGTTGCCATCCACCGTGGATTTAGCGCTAGTGAAATTCGAATGATAAATTCACGATTTTGATAATTCTTTGGTGGATTGAAGACCTGAAAGGTTTTATTCAATCAGAAATGGATGCATATGGCTGTCCGAAATTAGCGGCTTTCTCAAAAAATTTAACAGTTGTTCTTAATTCCATTCAAAACGGTCTTCTGCTTTTGAACCGAAATCTAATATTAGGATAAGCCGAAAACTTTATTTTTTATAATAAAAATACTCTAGTTTGTTATAAATTAAATATACTCTCGAAAAACCATCACAATGCTTCATTTTTCAAGTAATTTATTATGATGGACGAAAATACATTCCTTTCATTTTTCGGTTAGTTAAATAGGACGAAAAATGTCATGAAATTTCACAGATTTTGATGGAACTCGCCATGGTATGCAGAGAATTGGCGGTGGCAGTTTAATTAGTGAAGTTTTCTGGAAGGAATAAGTGAATTTTTTTAGAGTAATTATTGAAGTTTTTTAGAGAAATTAAGGCAGTTTTTTCAAAAAAATTAGTTAAGTTTTTTAGAGACATCTGTGAAGTTTTTTTCGAGAAATTAGTAAAGTTTTTTCTGATAAATTAGTGAACGTTTTTTTTAAGAGAAATTAGTGGCGTTTCGCCCACATTGCGATGCACTTTTCGCCCGGATAAGGATCACCTTCCCAGTTGCTTCGTATCAGTGCTACGTCTACTCATGTTCTATGTAAGAAAGTATTTCTATTTAGGAAAAACAACCAATTTATTTTTATGAGTATATGATTAAAGTATCTGCGATGAGTTAATTGACGCTGCTAAATAAGTCAGAAGTAGGGTTGGGTCAATTTGTCTAAATCGCGACACACTTTCTTAATAACAGCACGAGCAGAGAGAGTACGGGGTTCTGATACGCATTGTTTTATGGGCTAAACAGGGTCAAGATGACCCATACAGAGGCAGAAAGTGTATCACTATTTGTACAAAGTCTCACTTATTGCTCTGAGTGTGCTCTTAATATTATTTTAGAAGGTATAGTTCGTGTCTGCTGAACAGCTCTCATTTGTGGACATTGATAGCTCCTGTCCTCGTATTTAACCTGCGAATTTTGAGATTTGGACAAGAGTTCGAAAATATCGCCATGGGCTGTATCTGGAAATATTGGACTGCGGAGACATTGGATTGAAGACATATTGGACTTGGGAAATATTAGACTGAGGAAATGTTGGACAGAGGAAATATTGGACTGAGGAAATATTGGACTGAAGAAATATTGGACTGAGGAAATATTGGACTGAAGAAATATTGGACTGAGAAAACATTGCTTACGTATATATCGATCAGAACCTGACCTGTGACCTGCCGGGCAGAATGTGACACTCGTACTCCCTTACCCATTACAATGGTAATAATCCATTGACATTTTATTAATGGATATGTTATAATGGATTCATAAACATTTTTATGCGGTCAATAATACCTATTCCACACATCCATCAAATTAATGTTATGAATAGTTGATAAATTTCTCAGAATGAATTTTAGTTAAAATATTATTTTCGAAATAAATTATTATATTCGAAATCAAATTCTACATTTGAAATCATTTTATGATTTCAAGATTCGAACTCTATTTTTTATTTAAATGGACCATCACAATTTTTTAATTCGAGAGGCTGTTGACCGAGTGGGGACAAGTATTTTGTGGGGGGTGAATGCCCACTCGTGAGCCGGAGAGGGACTGAGTGTTGACTGAGCACTTGACCTCTTGGGGACCTGCTCCCTCCACGAGGGGACCTTCTGCTCCCCACACCGACCATACAAGGACACAATAACACACAGTAGCACACAACACTAGTACACATTAGTACACACTAGCAACCCAGACTAGCACACACGAGCACACACTAGCAACCCATACTAGCACACATTAGTACTCACTAGCACACACTAGCAACTCATGGTAGCACATATTAGTACACACTAGCACACACTAGCAACCCACACTAGCAACCCACATTAGCACACACTAGCAACCCATGGTAGCACATATTAGTACACACTAGCAACCCAGACTAGCACACACTAGTATACCATACTAGCACACAATAGCAACCCATGGTAGCACATATTAGTACACACTAGCACACTCTAGCAACCCACACTAGCACACACTAGTATACCACACTAGCACACACTAGCATACCACACTAGCACACATTAGCAACCCATGGTAGCACATATTAGTACACACTAGCACACACTAGCAACCCACACTAGCACACACTAGCAATACCTTCTGCTCCCCACACCGACCATACAAGGACACAATAACACACAGTAGCACACAACACTAGTACACATTAGTACACACTATCAACCCTGACTAGCATACACTAGCAACCCACACTAGCACACACTAGCAACCCATGGTAGCACATATTAGTACACACTAGAACACACTAGCATCCCACACTAGCACACACTAGCAACGCGTACTAGCACACACTAGCAACCCACACTAGCACACACTAGCAACCCACACTAGCACACACTAGCAATCCACACTAGCACACACTAGCAACCCATGTTAGCACATAGTACACACTAGCACACTTGATCACACATTAGCAACCCATACTAGCACGCACTAGCAACCCACACTAGCATGCAAGTGTAGGTTGAGTCTATCAGATTGTCAACATGGTTTTATTGCGACAGATCCTGCACCACTAACTTATTATCTACGTTGAACGATTGGACTCGCCTGCTGGACGAAAGGGAGCCACTGGATGCATTGCACCTCGATTTTGCCAAAGCATTTGACAGTGTTCCGCATGAGCGGCTGTTGCGTAAAGTGAAGTCTTTGGGAATTGAGAGAAACGTACTACTTCTCCACGCGACAAAATTTCTTTTCACTTCGAATCATCGACATGTGGAACAGCCTCCCAAATGACATCGTTGGCGCTCCAAGTATGACTAGAAAAGACTATGGAAAACAGACTAGATAAAATACTATGGAAAACAGACTAGATAAAGCTATGGAAAAATATATGTTCAGATTTGAAATGCCTAGCATCATATCGAACCCGGTGGAAGTCTAGTAGCTACTTGAAACTATCGTCAGTCATGAAAATATCCGGTCAAATAAAACGATATTAGATCTTCTGTGAACAAGGCGCGAAAAGGAAAAGAATCGGCAATAGGCCACATTAGGCCTCACTTCAGCGCCGAGATCAATATGTTATGTTATGTTACTCACGATGTACATGCATTGGATATACATCGAAGATTCTTCAGTAAAAGTAAATCATGTTAATGGATCGATCGGGCAGACGGCAAATGGCTTATTCAAAATAAGGGACTAACGGACTTAGGACTAAGGAAATTAAGAATCAGGAACTGAGGGGACAAGGACTATACTAATAAGGGACTGAAGGCCTGACGGGCTAAGAACTAAGGAAATAAATTCCAACCGTCTGCATACAATTCAGGAATTTGTTGATTATATAGTTCAGGTATGGTTTGTTGGAAAATTTTCAAATCAATGAAAATGATCCATACATCAATCGCATCTTGTATGCGTTAATTAGAGCTTCAGTTCTGAATTCAAATCAACGCGATGCAAATATTACCAATTTTTGCCTTCAAGAAAGTTCCCCTTCGAATGCTACCATGCGCTCAGTTGCTGTTCAGTTCGCATGATCATAATCTATGTTTGCTCTTTATATGGTATTACTTGATATACGGTAGATGCGCATTGCTGCCGATACCTAGCATGGAAACGAAGTAAGTCTTTTTCCCGCAGTCTTCACTCACAAATTTTAACCTTGAAATTAAATTTTGAGAGTATATATAAACTTAGAAACCGGCACCGGAAGTCAGAGATTGTTCGCTACAACAACTCCACGGATTGTAAGCGTGCCAGTTGAAGCGAGCGCTATAGGCTCTAAATTTTCCTATAAATTTCACCTTCATGGAGGAATAAAATTGTATCAAAACTTTGACTCCTCATCTAAATTTGATGAAGTTACAATGCAGGAAGGAATAACATACTAAGAGTTATTTTTTCAGCTGACTTCTCAAGTGATCAAAGTTCAACTCACAACGATGGTAGAAATTGCATTGTAATACGCATAAGATGTCGTCTTTTCCGGCCGGGAAGGAGCAAATCTCAGTGTAGGAATCAGCTAGCGTTTAGGATCTTTATCTTGTTTGCACAGGAAAAAAGTCGACGACTGCGCAATGAACTCTTTTAAGTGTGACGTCACCGCCTCATCCCACCCGCCCTCTCCCCCAGACCCACATGTCCTCCCCTTCTTGTTCTATCTCACTCCTTTCCCCCTCGCAGCCCCACCGCCGTGTACCCTTTCCCGTGATACCCTGTCGTGCCCCATCTAAGCCACCTGTTAGCGCTGCTGCACAGCATCTGGCAACACACACGATGCTGCTTCACATCATCTTTCATCTGGAAACATTCAGGGAGCTGAAGCACATCATCTAGCATCTGGCAACATTCATGGCTATGCAGCACATCATTCCGTGTGAGTCGAAATTATTTTCTTGAGTAAACGTGCAGTATTCAGTCCAGTTGAATTTATTGAATGAGGGTTTACATAATATTTATGGGCTTGATTTTGTTGAAATATTTTCCAGCTGAGGAGGGGCAGCTGTAGTGCACTGTTGATGTGCGACTCGTCATCGTTCATTGATACATGCTATTCATTAACAACGTCTCATTAGCTTTTATTTCTCATATGCTTTTACTCGAAGTTTGTGAGTAACAAAATTAATTTCCGTGAAGAACACGAAGGAATAAAACTCAAAACTTATTTATTATTTTTTAAAAACTTTCTTCGCTGTCAGTAAATGCCAGAAAAAATGGTTTCTTTCCCGATGTCCAGGGCGACTTATCTAGATACAATAAAAGTCGTATAACTGTCGTATAAGTCACCACATACCGGATGCATAACTAGTCACATAAAACAACATTAAGTGAGTAATTACATTTACATATCACTATAAATTATACAAGAATACCTTTTCCCATCAGCTGCCGCTGGCCCGTGTGCTAGCGGCAGCGGTGCAATGTTGTGTTTGGCGATTCGCGCTGTGCGAAATTTACTATGCAAATAACCAGATTACTGTTATACAACTTTTGTGATTAATCACAAGGTTTTTTTTAATTGTAATATTAACCTGAGCCCTTTTCCATCCTCAGGGGAGAAGCCCTACCGTTGCCACTGGCCCGAGTGTCAATGGAGGTTCGCGCGGTCCGACGAGCTCACGCGCCACTACCGCAAGCATACGGGCGCCAAGCCCTTCAAGTGCCGCGTGTGCGAGCGGGCCTTTGCGCGGTCCGACCACCTCGCGCTGCACATGAAGAGACACATGCCCAAGCCCGGCAAGACTGCGGCAGCGGGTGTGGCGGCTGCGAGTGTTGCAGGGGTAACTAGTGCATCTACCAGTAGTGTTGCAACCGCTGCGACAGTTGCGGCTCCTGATAATACGGCTGCTGCATCATCCTCCTGAGTGGGGTTTTCACTGCGACAGCAGGTGTACCAAATGCAAGTGTTACAGGAGTAACTAATGCATCTACCACAAGTGTTGCAGCCGCTACGACAGTTGTGGCTCATGGTAATACTGCTGCCGTATCATTCTCCTGAGTGGGGTTTTCACTGCGACAGCTGGTGTACTGGGTGCAAGTGTTACAGGGGTATCTAGTGCATCTAGCTCAAGTATTGTAGCCGCTACGACAGTTGCGGCTCATGATAATACGGCCTGAGTCAATTTTTTAAATTTTTAAATGTAAAATTACTGGGGAGCGAGTTACCGGGCATTTAGGTATTCAGCTGTAATATAATATAATGTGCAATGGGGATGTGAATGTGGCCCCTTTATATGCGTAGTGACTAGTGCCAGATACTGCTATGTTTATAATAGTTACTCCTGTTGATACAGATTGTGAGCATCTCATATTTGCTACACTAAGAAGCTTAATTATTACTTTATAATAATTATTTTTATGTTGAAATAGAATTAATTACATGCGAATTAAATACAGAAGAGAAAATGGTCGCGAGATATTGGCCAAAAATGTTGTCGTCAAATGAGATTGATGTAGCACATTAAACTTATTAATAGTCCTTACAAAGGTCACCATGAAATTATAGTTATAGAAAATAAAACTACGTGAATAAGTAAGGTTCATATTTTCTTTTTTTGGTGTATATTCTTGAGGCTATGACTCAATTCAAGTATTACCGGAGGCTTAAATCATGCGCACTTAGCTTGTCACTCTAAACTTGTCACATATTCTGCATAATGACGGTTATAATGTCCCACAAAAAGTTATGATGAATAACGTTGGGAACGTTACAAAAAACGTACAATGAAACACGACAATCTCACATCATTTAATGCAGAAACATCCTATAAAATAATGGAGTCAATTTAAATCAATACCAGCACCACTCTTAATCTACATTAGTTACCGAGCGATCCATATTCGTGATAATTAAAGGCCATATTGAAGTATTTCCACTTTCTGTTAATATTGTTCCCATTTTTTATGTTTGTGTCATTATTAATTGTATTCTGAACTCTCTTACATTGATCTTGCTGCACTTGGTGTCATATACTTCATATGAATGAATCTTTACTCTTGAAATTCTCTCAGGCAAAAACCATCCAGTGCAGAGATTATTCAATAAAATTAAATTATATGCCAAAAAGTAAATGAAACCATTGTTAAAATTGTATCAAAATTAATAAATTATATGGTAAATATATTACTGATCGTGTATACTGAAATGTTAGCTATTTCATTCGATAAATAAAATTGATAGTTTTTAAGATTGTAACATCATGCTTAACGTTTATACGGTATCGCGCCTTGCTAGGCATATCGATTTAGTTTATATTAATAGCATTAATAATGTTAATTAAGCCAAGGTTGTTGCAATATTCCGTAAGTCATGACGGAGTACATTATTTATTTCATTAAAAGCCATCTTTTTACTAGTGTGTCATGGAAGTGAAGATGCTCATTCGGTGCCATAATTTCAACAAGTGTCATCATTAGCATAGTGAAAGTCCAACTGGATCACAAATAGCTACTGTAGAGCTGTGGCACTATATGTCAGTAAAGCTGAAGCATATTAGCAGTCTAATTGTAGCATAGTGACAGACTAATTGTTAGGAACGTAATAGTCTAATGGTAGCATATATATACGCAGTTTAACTCTTAGACAATTTCGGTCCAATTGTAAAACAAGTGCAGTTCAGGTAAAGTAACGACATTCCAACTGTTATCCAATGCGTGCTAACTGTAGCTTTACTATAGTCCTCCAACTATAGTCTAATACGTGCTAGTTTTAACATTATTACAGTCTCAGCATTATCTCACTACAACTTTAGCATGACGTCAGTCAGACCGACAGGTTAGGTGCCCGCTGAAAGAGTGGACCGTTCCCCCACACGACAGCGGCCCTCACCGTGCCCCATAACCGCCCCTGGGGATTCAGACAAGACGGCACCTCAAATCTTGATTTTTTTTTGTTGATACAACGTCAGCTGATCTGAATGTTAGTTTGGTCCATGGAAAATACGAGTCATATATTTAATGTCCAGATTTGATATCAGTATCCAGGTTCTATCAACCCAGGACGGTTCGTTGACATGTCAGACGTGAAAAAGCAGCTTGCGATCGTCCAACAGATTCTTCAATTGATCAATAGAAAGCTGAATCCAGCGTGGAGGAGACCTTGTGTTTTGTTTATTCTAGTTCAAGTTAAAATTGAAATACGCAGCATATTTTTTCCGCCAATAATAGGGCAAGCAATGGCCGACCAAGTCGACCTATGTTTCTGTCACTCCTCGAAAGGGTTCATATATGTGTTGTGTTAGAATCAGTTGTTATGATAATGCAAATGTGATATTGTACTTTTAAGAATATTTATTGTACCTATGCATCTATGTTTTTTATAACTTTTGCTCTCTTTATCTCCAACGAATATTTTCTTTTGCTGTTTCGGTATACAAAATTGTGTCGAAATTGTGCCATAACCGAACACAGCAAAGTCGACTATTGCGTTCACTAGGTCGTTCACTTGTTATTTTTCACATGTTACACTTTTTATAACAATTGTTATTGTTTTTTCTGTGACTAGAGTTTGCAGCGTTGATGTTCTCGATGATTTTGTTTCGAATCTAAAGTATTACAATATAAGAAGAACTATAAGTATTTTGTGTCGTATTGAGAGCAGCGAGCGTCTTGTTGGCCGGATTCAAGACCTCCGCGAGTCCGGATGTTAACCAAAATACAAATAAACTTTTCGTATGCATATAGCTATTCTGAGAGGGATAGTTAACTAAAATCTTGCTTTATGCCTTGCATCCAAAATGTAGTGTTGCATTTGATATACTGGTGCACCTAACACCGCTGTTGAGAACCATTCTTGGGACACAGTATGCACTGGTGCACTTGGTGCACTGGTGCACCTTACTCTGCAGTTGTGAACCATTCACGGTACACACAGAGACTAATATGGGGAACGTGTTTACTATGCTTGTACAAATCCTCAATCCTGATCAATATATCTAAAGCAGCCGTTATTATTTATAAATATATCCGATTGAAGCCGACGTTATTTGCTCAATGCATGTAATGCCCTATAAATGAGGCCTACAAATTGAGAACAAGAGAGAGAGAGAATTTGTTCCATTTGGGCTCAAAAGTTCTTTTCAGATGTCGCTGAAATGAGATATTTTGTGCCTATCAGAACTGGAAGCCTGCCTGATTTTTTTACGCTCTAGGAAGGATATACGAGTATATAAACTGCTGCTCAATTCAGGGCCGATTCTCCAAATTGGGGTATGAATTTTAGATTTCCACTTGAATATTTTTATATACAATGTAATTGTTGCCAGGACTTGCATCATCCTTATGACATCGTCCCTCGGCACCTCTGCCGTGAGCAGAGTGTGCCAGCAGGAAGACGACGTGCAAATCTGTCATTAAATTAAAATATTCGATTTAAGCAAAAAAATTCGAGTAAAGATTCTGCTTCTAAATTTATTTTTGGTTTGATTTAAATTGAATGCAGTTATAATATAATTCTTATCATTTAGGAATTAATTGTTATAAAGAAATTGCTTTTTTGTTTGCGGTAATGAAACACTGGTCTAGGAACGAGGAATGAATGCGTTTGAATAGAAGAAATGGATTCTCATGAATGTAATGAACAATGAATGGTCCCAACGAGTGGGAAATTCATAGAATATTAAGCTGATGGCTTCGTTATAATACGTCAATGTGCGCATCGCATAGTTTGTGCTACGTGCAATTAGTGGGTAAATTCAAAGTAAAAAATTATGCTGTCTAGTAAGCCTGTCCACTCAACAGCTTCTTATCCATAACGTTATTCCTACCCGAAATGTAAATTAGTATTTCAGTCCAACCCTTTGTTTACGGATACATTAACCGTCGTCAATAATATTCGTACCAAAATGCTTGTTAAGGACAGATACTGTCAGAAGACTAAGAGTTAACTCTTAGTTTGCTCAATTCACAAGCGTATCAATAATTCACAAGTACATCAACAATAATTATAAAAAGTACAGGTACATAAATAAAAATGATAATATTAAAGCGAAGAAAACACCAAGTTAATTCACGAAGTATTCATTGAAAACTTTCAGCTCTAGCATCGGCTAATAAATTAAAACAATTTTGCTTTTTATTCCGTACATTCCTTAACTGATGGTGGTCTGCGGAACGCTTTTGATGACAATATCGAAAATTTTGATGTCGTTTTCTTTGCTTAAAGTTTATTGGTGATAGCCACAACATATCGCCATAACTCATGTATTTTGTTCATACAGTTAGTGTGTGTGTGTGAAACACATTAGAAGTTACCACTGTAGTTTTAACGTATGTGTTATTAGTTGTTGTGTAATCTATTGCTCATACTCGTACCTATAGTATACACTATTGTTTACTTCGTCTTTACTCTTACCAAGAGAGAAATTGGTCCTTTTACAAAACATGTATTATAACGCAGGAAACATATAATATAATTCAACATGAATCTTGTAATATTATTTAATGTGAAACGAAGGTGCTCTAGTTGCTTAGTATTATAATAAATCAAAGTTCAGTTACTTTATTTATGATTAGTTTGCATCGCAGCCTTTGTGTTCAAAATTTCTATGACAAGTATTAATATGTTCTATTTAATTAGCAGTTAAATTTATCTGTTCTCATTTATAGTTAATTTAGGGATTCTGATACTCACAAATAAATATTTTGTAAATTAAATATTCAATCTTCCAAATTAACGAGCAGTTTTGTTAATTACGCTCAAAAATCATTTATTGTTTCAAATTTGATTGATTCTAACCAATTATTTCGTCTATACAAAACACAGAAATTCATCACCACAACATCTACATCACCACAACATCTACATCACCACCACATCTACATCACTACCACATCTACATCACTACCACATCTACATCACCACCACATCTACATCACCACCACATCTACACCACCACCACATCTACATCACCACCACATCTACATCACCACCACATCTACTTCACCAACAAGACACGGATGTCCCTACCTACACATCCGCAGCACCACGAACACATTAAAATGCGACCAAAATAAATTTTTCTTACAAATTTAACTTACAGTATTTATTCTAAATTTCCATATATAGGGCAACATCTACATCTATCTATCTATCTAACTATAACTTCTAACGTATTAAAATGCGACCAAAACAAAGTTATCTCCTGCGAAATAACTTACAGTATTTATGGTTATTTTCCTAATATAGGGCAAAATCTGTGATTTCGAGTAACTTCCAACGTACGTAGATCATCATTTCAAGAATTTTTTCAACTGTGACATACAAGTTGCCACTGATTTCGAGTCGCAACTTTGCAATATGAACAATATGTATTACTTATAAGGGTAAATAATAACATTCAAGTTGGATTTTAAAAAGCTCATTATTTTCTGCAATACTCAATTTTGCAAAACTCAATTGTTAACAGACTGTTGCTCTATATACGTTACTCTATATATTATATAACGGGCAGGGCATTGCGAGTAGCCTCGCTGTTATTGAAGGAGCTGATGCAAAGTTAGTTGGTGCACATAATATTGTTCATTGTATATGTCAATTATCGTGATGAAAATATTGTTTTTTTTTGTTAGACCTCACAGCTACATTTGATTCGAATAAATCACATTACATTTGATTCTAATAAATCACATTCCATTTGATTCGACTAAATCAAATGATTCACAGCTACATTTGACTCGAAAAAAAGTTAATATATGTTACGGTTCAACTTGCGTCCAACACACGTTGTTGACTCATGCGTCTCTCTAAACTTGTTTCAACTCTCCGACGCATGTCTCCAGGTCAATCAATGATGAATCCTGCTTATCTCATTCAACATTTGAGTCAATTTGGCCAATATCTTCATGACTGAAATTAGGTTTAATTTGTTCAACACACCTTTTTGTTATGCTCGGAAACTCTTGTGTTGAAGTTGAAAATAAATGCGTGCCATTTTTTCTANTATCGTGACCCGAATGTCCTCATCATCTTATCTTATCGTGACCCGAATGTCCTCATCATCTTATCTTATCGTGACCCGAATGTCCTCATCATCTTATCTTATCGTGACCCGAATGTCCTCATCATCTTATCTTATCGTGACCCGAATGTC